AGTAGATATGGCTCGAGCTTGGCTTGACTTTGATGCAGTTGATTCCCTTAATTATTTTATATTTATCATACAATATTTACTAATATATCCTAATAGTAGTCAATGGCAACAAAGAAGAAATCCTAAGTCGTCTTAGTTTGCATTGATGATAATTAATGCTAGCTATTTTTCAAACTCCCGCATGATGCACACACGAACAATGAGGGTATTGAGTTATCTGTCACTTTAGGAATAGTGACACTTTTTATCTCAAAATCATGGGTAGAGTAGAGCTTCCGAGATATGTTGATGAGCATCGTGCTGATCTCCAATCTGCTCAGATCATTCATCTACTTCACTGAAACTCTTATTACGATAGGCAAGTTCAATTTGAAACTACATATGATTTATCATGTTCTTATTTTGAAGATAATTCCCACATTGAGGATTTTCAAGATTGGGGGAAGAAATTGAAGATTTTGTCCGATGAATTATTAAATCTTCAAGGGAAGCAAGTTATTTTTGTTGTTCACAAATTAAAGTGGTGTGTGACTGCATGGCAGAATCATTTGACACATACTTGTTGTCATGATGGTCATAGCGATATCAAACATGACTCAAGATGAAACAATTATTACAAAGACAGATTTTTCCATTGGATCATGAGGAATCATTTCATCGAGAAATTGTTGAATCTCTTCAAATACACTACACTTATGCAATTTCACATTCCTACCTTTTTATTAGTTAAGAACATATTATTAAAGAAGGGCACTCTATTATTGATTATTTAGTTGAAGAGGATGAGTTCATAAGCTCCCCCAAGTTGAGATAGCATGCATTTAATATGATCTTAACAAATTTCAGACTACAACAAAGAAAAGCTTAGGAAGTTGGCAAATTACTTTACTTATATCTTGCTTTACTCCAAAATTTTGATCATGGGAAGTTCTCGGAAATACTGATGGAAGTTATTATGATGCATGATCCACATTTTCAAATTGTTTAAAAAGTAGGTTTTTGAAATCCTTTTCATTATTTATTTCCTAATTTGCATGTTAAGACTAGAAAAATCAGGGCACAAATTGTACTGAGATGTACAAAAGGAAGAAAGCTAAAGTGAAAGCCATTTTACAAGGAACAATGTCAAATATGATCAGTTTGACTTATAATTTGCAGTCTTCTTAGAACACTAATAATTATTTATGTTCAACAACTTACTTTATTGATAATAAATGAAATATGTAGAAATAAGTTTTAGACTTCTGCTTAATGCCGTAAAATGAAACATCTTCAGCTGAAAATATCGAAGAGTTTTTGTTGACTGTGAGATTGATAATAAATTATCCATGATAACAATGAGGAGTGCTTTCACAAATGTCTTTCTTGTTGAGTTGTTAAAATGTCAATTAAACAAAAACAAGATGTTCTTATTAAATGTTGAATATTTTTATCTTCAATGTTGCTTAGCAACTACACCAGTACTTCCAAACTACTTTCTGGGTAAAAAATAATCAGCATAGCTCACAACCACAACAATAAAGCCTCTTGATTGTCATAATGATGGCTATGTACATTTGAAGCTAATTTATAAACTTGAGTCAAGTTTTTTTGAATCAAAAGGGATCTGATTAAACATATTCTCTTAATTTTACATTTATTGCACAATATTTAGCAACACACCCTAGTGGTTGCTTAATAACATTTAAGCACAACTAATTTTCCTTAACTAATCATGTTTTTTCTTTTGTTTTTTTTTTGTGTTTTGCTTGTATGTGATAGCTGGGGAGTATATATTTTTCATTAAATAAGTTAAATAGTTAAAGACATCATATTTTTTTGAAACTAAGGGTTTGTTTGGGGCAGCTGTAGCTCATCCACTTATCCTGATAAACTGCTTATCCTGATAATCTGGTGATAAGCAGCTGATCCGGATAAGCTGTTTGTCTGTTTGGTTTGTGCGTTTAGAGAACAACTGATTCTGGAAAATAACCAATCTGCCTCTGTTCTGGATAAACTGCAGCTGTTTAGTTTGTGCGTTTTGTAAACATCTGATTTGCATATTTTTTTACAAATTTACCAAACTTCTTAATATAATCATAAAGTGGAGATAAATGTGAAGATAGTAGAACATGAAAATACAAAATATTTTTAATATTAAAGTTCAAATGTTAAGACATGAAAATACATAATTATTTATCACTTAAATATTTCAAATCACATCACAGAAGCATAGTTACCATTTGAGAAATAGATCAACACATCACCGAAGCACAATTACCATTTTAGAAGCACACTTAATAACAATTCTAAGACTGTCATACACATTTTAGGCTATTCGACTAAAATAGGGGGAAGATTAGAAATACGTAAAGATGATTTTGAAGCTCAAATTTCATCACAAGCTGAACACAGAAGAGATTAAACACATTTGAGAAAGAGATCAACACATAGTTGGCGTACTCGTGATCATGGCCACCACTTATCAAGCTCAACAGGAAATAAATGTAACTTATAACTCAATAATCGAAAAACTCCACGCATAATTTATCTCCCGATAATCGAAATGCTCCTTACGATGACCAAAGATAACCGAAGCCATCCATACTAAATTCATCATTCTTACGATAACCAAAGACAAGAACTTACAGAACAAAGAGGGCGGATTGCAGGGGAGAAGAGGGAAGAGATAAGTGTTCCGATCTCCTTAGACCGCAGAAGTTTTATGGCACGATGGATCGTATAGATCTCCTCTTCTCATAGTGCGGAAGCTTTAAGGGAACAAACTGGGTTGAGGAAAGCAGAGGGGTAATTAAAGTAAAAATCCTTCAAAACGCTTGACCGCGACACTCAGGGTGTCGGCCGCGGTCATATTATAAACATAAAAGGCGCTTTACGGGACACGGCCAGGACGCTCCAACCAAATGCCTACGCGGCGTTTTCAAAAAGCACAATCTGCGAATATTTACTACAATAAGTGGAAATAAATGTGAAGGTAGTAGAACATGAAAATACAAAATATTCTTAAAATTAAAGTTCAAATGTTAAGACATGAAAATACAAAATATTTATCACTTAAATATTTCAAATCACATCACAGAAGCACAGTTACCATTTGAGAAATAGATCAAGACATCATAGAAGCACATTTACCATTTTAGAAGCACACTTAATAACAATTCCAAGAATGTCATACACATTTTGGGCTATTCGACTAAAATAGGGGGAAGATTAGAAATATGTAAAGATGATTCTGAAGCTCAAATTTTCAATAATTAAACATATTTTCGTATTAAAATTTTCAACTGAAGTGATAAAATAGCAATGAAAACAGTTGATTGAATTTGAATGACATAGAAAATAAAATATAAATTAACGCTTATATGGCATTTAATTAAATTATATTTTCGTATATTTAAGAATATCACTATTACTTACTTTTAAAAATGAAGTACACCTTTTCAAGCTTAAGTCTAAACTTTAAAATTTACATACATAGCATGCAAATCTTTAATTTTACACAAAAGAATATCACTATTACTTACTTTTAAAAATGAAGTACCCCTTTTCAAGCTTAAGTCGATGACACTAAAGTGATATAAATGTAAATATGAAAGTTTAAGTGTTAGATGTGTAAATACATAAGAATTATATGGTATGCATGTAAATTTCTCATTTATTGCAGCATTATATTACACTATTCCTCGGTTTCTTCCTTCCATTTCCCCCCCCTCATTTACATCATTTCAAAAATAGCTTTGATTTAAGTGATTTATTATTCATTTAATTCCAATGTAATTTTAATATTTGCAGGCATTGCCCCAATACTAACTTTATAATTGATTTTGCCCTCAAATTATTATAAGTATACTGAGCTTGAACCCAATCTGTTAAAATATGCGAGGAATTAATTTTCACCTTTTTTAGAAAAATATATGAAAGATTTACAAATATACCACTTAGTTTCTATGTATTTACATATCTAAAAGCTAAACTTTAATTTGTAGATATATTTAAGGTTAGAATAGCGATATTTTGGCGTGATATGAAAATTTTGGGCAATATAAATATAAACAGTAAATTCTAGGCATTAGATAAGTAAATACATAAGAGATGTAAATGTATGATGGGAAGATTTACTTACATACCCCTTAATTCTATGTATTTACATATAGGCCAACTTGCTTTAAAATAGTGATATTTTGGATGTGAGATGAGAGATTTGATAGGTATAAATGTAAATAGTATAGGGGTTAGATATGTAAATACATAAAAATTGAGCGTTATGTATTGATGAATTAAAATTTAATTGAGATATGTTTTCATTATGACCCCCCAAAATATTTCCAATTAAGGTTAAACATGCCACGTAATACAGAGATGCATAACTCTTGGCTTAATTAGGATTTACTAAATTAAGCAATAGAGTAATAAATCATCGTAACCATTCCTCATGGCTCAACATCTTCATGATCCGCGCCATTCACTCAGTCAACGCCATCAGTTACGCACGCACTTGATTTGGGAGTCAATTTTGGACCCTTACCTAATTCATTAATTGAAGCATACCAAAACTAAACCATATCATATTCGATTTTAATTCTTCTTTCCATAATCTACAAATCTATGCCTAATCCACTCTCTACATATGATTGTTAACATTTAAGTTCAACTCTAACAATTTTGAATTTAATGAATATCACCTCCAAATAAACAAGCTAAGCTACAAGCTAGGGGCTAAAATTTTCGATTAAATTTTCTTTTTAACGAATTTCAAACCACCCCATGTCTACTTGAAATCAGATCATTAACAACTATAGTGCCGCTAAAATCATAAATTTAACAAATTTAACTTGAAAATCTTTAATTGCTCAAATATTGATTGGCCCAATTCGAGTCCATATTGAAATAAACGGAGATACAAATTTTTAGGTTTAGTGTAGTCATTCCTGAGCGCTGGGCAACCAGAAAAGGCAAGCTAAAGCCTAACTAATCCGGCATTCAATATATTATTCCGAAGGCCCCCCCTTACAACTCTCTCACCCACCCTTCCCTCTCCCTCACTCTAATTTCTCCTTTCCAGACATGTTCTCCTCCAGCAGCAGCAGTAACAGCAGCAGCGATGGCCGACAAGAGATGATCAACGACCACAAATTCTTCTCACGCCTTCTATCAAAAGAAATCTCCGCAAGCAATCCATCCTTCCGCGTCTACTACGGCGTGGCACCCGGCTCCGTTCCCTTCCTATGGGAATCCCAGCCCGGCACCCCCAAGCACACCGCAGCCGCCGCTCCTCCCCCCCCACTCGCCCCTCCTCCTTCCTACTACTTCAACTCATCCCCAAACTCCGTCAAGAAATCTCCCAGGCAGCGCAAACTCATCCACGCCGTCCTTCCCAGACTCTCCCTCCGTAAGCCTCACCCTGCGCAGAGACCGCCGTCGGTTTCGTCGTCATCGTCGTCCGGCCGTTCGTCGTGGGAGGAGGAGGAGAACTATGAGGCTCGGATGTCGCCAACTTCAACGCTGTGTTTCGGCGACCGGCTGGCGCTCAAGAAGGCGCTGATGTATATTGTCGGCCATGGGTTGGGCCACGGGTCATCGGATTAGTGTTAACAGGTTTCGGGTCAGCGCCTCTGCTACATCTTAATTTAGTTTTTGGAATAATTAGTATTAATTAATAATTAAGAAGTCAAGTGAGAGTGGAATAATGTGGAAAGATGTCTGCTGCAGTTGTGATCTGTATGTTACCATCAGTATGGTTTTCTGCTTCTTAATGAATAGTTGTTGATTGAAAACTTCTTTTTTTATTGATTATTATGCTAATAAAATGGTTTAGAAGGCACCAAAACCTTAATATTCTTGTCCTTTTTAAAATTAAATATGTCATAGTTGGTAGGTGCTTATTTTACATATCTATTTTATGCAGAATACTTTCGATAGCAGTTGATTAAACACTTTTTTTTATTAATTATATATGCAGTTTACGTGGAGAGATGATTAACTCAGTCTTAATCACATCTTAGAATTAAACTTAAGGACATTTACATTCATACCATTATTGGCATATGTGAGATCAACAAATCCTTCTTCTTGTTGCTGAACTTCTTCGTATAAATATTCTCTTTATTTCCTGAGTCTCTAGGGAGTCACATACAGAGTTAGAAAAGATCAAATCTTTGATCATTCCATCATACATAATAGAATTTTGAAAATTTCTGGATATATATATTACATAGAAAGCATCTCTTTTAAGTTATTCTAGAACAATTAAGAGATTCTCTAGAAGAAATAGTTTATGGTGACAACATGCTATTGGTTGTTGGTCCCGCTAATGGGGCCAAATCAATGCTTACTAAGAAGAAATATTAGAAAATCAATCTCATCCATCTCGTAAGGATCACCTTAATCATATCTAACAAGTAACGCCTAAAGTTTAATTTCTTACATGCATGTTATCTCATCTATGATAGAAAAGATGTACTTAACCTTTTAAAAATTAAAATAATAATATTTTTGGTGATACATGAAAGATTTATTTGATCGGTATAAATATAAACAGTCAAATTAATTAGGTGTTAGATATATAAATACATAGGAATTGGGCGGCATGCATGTAAATGCGCCCCTAAACTTAATTAATTGGTTCTATTTTAGGCCATGTAGCTAAAGTTGATTTGATTTTGCTCTTTGGAGACCGAGTTAAGTAAATTAACCTAATTGGTTCAAAGAAAAAAGTAAATGGGACACTTAAACTATTATGGGACCATTAACAATTGTTTAATTGCTAAGTTGATTAAATCGTTTAGCGTTTAAGTCATTTTTATTAGCTAAATTAGCTCTTAAGCTAATGTGTGCTAATGTGTTCTGTAAGGTGTTAGCTAGAGTACAAAATGTTAATTAAAACCAATTCGGTCAACTTAAGGAGTCTTAGGGGGTAGGCCAAGCACTTGTGAAAGGCGCTAAATTTAAGACTAATATGTCGGAGCTCAATCCTAAACAGTCAGATCGTATGGCTAATCAGAAAAGAGAATTTCAAATTTTAATTAATATTTCAATCTGGGTTGGATTCGAAGTTGGACCAATGACTTAAGAAATATTAAATTATTTTAATATAATTTAAATAACATAATAATAATGATTAAATATAATTATTTTTATTGATTCAATAAATAATATTTTAATTTAGGATTTAATTTAAAATGAGAGCGCATTAGAGCATATTAGAGAATAAAAATGAGAGAAAATGACAGCCTTTTCTTTTGTTTTAAGGGACATTCAGGTATACACCCTTCAATTTCTATGCATTTACATATCTAATAACTATACTTAAATTTTATATTTTTACCACTCAAATCTTTCATATCATTTCAAACATATCAATATTTTAATTTTTAAAATGTGAAATACACCTTCATGCATAGGTAAGATGACATATATGTAAAAAAAAAAGATGTTTTAGTGCACAAATACAAAGTAATTCAATGGTATGTATATAAATATTTTACATATTTCTCTCAACATTTCCAAAATAAGTAAAATGGCGTGCATTGGCAACAATTTTGACATATTTAGCATGAAAAAATTGAATAAAAACTTACAAACCTTTGTTTATTCATACAATCATCATCAAAATTAGATTCATTTTATAGCCGTACTATTGCTCATATATTAACTAATTGTCCATTAATTTGATTTTGTAAGTCCAATCAATACGGTTATCTTTGTTGATTGCAATTTATATAGTGTAAAATAAGAGAACATTATATTTTATATAATTAGAGTTTATTTATCTTTGAAATTAATGATGATAATTTGGAGTCTCTCCCGAGTTAGAGCCAAATTCGAGTCATGAGTCAAGTTGTGTAACGTTTGTTTGGCTGATTCAGAGCCAATTATGTATATTGATTTCAAGATGAGGGAAGCACTTGTCCAACTTTTATTAAACTAAATTAATAAAAAAATTTCTGGATTTAGAATAAAATCTCTCTGATTTTAGTATCTATTAGAGTGCTTGAAAAATATATTGTAAATTTTTTTAGCTAAAAATTAATAAAAGACTCATTTTGAGTCTCTAACCTTCGAATTTGAATAGTCTTAGCCATTCAAAAAAAAGTCATGAAAATTTATATCAAGACGAATGCATAGGGTGAAATTTTGCCCAATTTTATTTAATTTTTTTAATATGATTGTACATTTTAATATAGTCTTAATAATTTTGTCACTAAGAAAAAAAAAAAAAAAAGCTGCGGTTAGGAATATATATAGTGCTAGTTTTTATAGAGGTTTAGTTATGATATCATAAGCTAAATTAGGAGCAGTGAGAGGTCTTGGCTAAACCTCTACTACTACATCTCTCCAACGGCCTTTGAACAGTAAATGCTCGTCGCTTTCATTGTCCATGATCTTCTATAAGGTGAATGCATATTGTTGACAAACACCATCACACTCTGAAGTTCAATGCAAATCATTAACGTATGCCATCACTAATAAGGCTATTACAAGCAAATGAAACCAATACCGATGCTAACTACACAACAACAATAAAATCGATGCACGTCATCAATGTATGCCCTCACCTATAAGACGATGCATGACATTGACATATGTTGCCACTAATTTGACTGATGAAAATTATCAACACAAACTTTAACACTCTCCGACTCTATCAACTGCAGTCATGTTGATATCCGTGGTCTTTGATAGGGCTAAAGCATGATATCAACACCCAAATTAATTGGGCTTCTTGGCCACTTGACTCTTCATCTCAAAAAAGAAATGAAAAAAATTATCGCAAATAATATGTTGATGGAGATTCAAATGCCCTAAAATCCTCCAGCTTTTATAATTGAATGAATTTTGCATAACACATTAACGATTTTCCCATGTATGAGAAAGTTGAAGGGCCTTATTTATAACATATGGCAGACTCTAATAGGATAGTTTTAATTAGTTCAATTTCTATGATTTTTCCCTTGGTTATTTATAGTGTCTTTCCCAAGTTGTGTACCTGAAAATTCAACTTTGGGCATGGAGTAAGAGATTAATATCATAACGCTACATGAAGAACGAAAACACACACACAAATAAGTGATAAAATGCATCATAATTTTATATGAAAACTCAAAAAGAAAAAAAATCATGTGACTCGACTTAACCAGAATATTTTACTATATACTTAAAGTAAATAATTCTAATTTCTCTCTAACTTGAGAAGATGGGGCTACATAAATATGAATATCTTTCTATTATTACAACAAAAAATTATAAATAGTAAAATTATTTAAGTTATAGTTATGAGACAACATTAGGGAAAATAAGAGCGAGGTTATAATATTCACTGGACAATAGTTGGACCACAACAACTATTAGCTGTGGCCGGTGACGATCATTCCTTAAGTTTTTTCAATAGAGTTAACTTAGCTCTCAATTTTCTGCGCCTCCCTTAAATATCTTAAGAACCTCATAATTAAATGATGTTGATCTCATTGAATTTGTCTCATTCAATTATTTAATTTGATTGCGAGCATACAAATTTGGAGATCGTTGAACCATTAAATTAATGCTTCAAAGTTTCTAATTACACTTGTGGTGCTTGTTTTAAATCACTTTTGATGATGTTGTTAGGTTTGTGTCTAGGTTCCAGTCCCCTATCATGAGGGGATCTATTTAGGCAATCTCATCCTCCATAAGTACTGCATGAATCTGAATCATTCCCTCGAACGACCTATAGTGATTTCCTCGATCAAATTTAGTTTTATGAGTTTTTAAATTCATAATTAATTAAAATTAGGCTCATTAGATTCATCTTGTCGAGATGGCTGATTTGAATATAAACTTGTCATATTTGGATATCCATTCCCTTAAATTTTTTTTAAAGTTTTTTTTTTTATGCTTTTAGTTCTTGATTTGAGCTCAGTTTGACTCAGATCAGATTATTTTCTATTTGTTTGTTTGATCTTCTCCTTGAGACATTTAATTTGATCATAAACTGAAGTGTAACCGTTTCTAAATTAATTTTATTTTTGAAGCTTTTGGTCTAAATGCGTTGAGATTCATGTGAATCAATATCTTTTTTTCTAGCAACGTATCATGATTAGTGTTGCAAATGAAGAAAGTATTGCACTAATCTCAAAATACATTTAATAATTTAAAGAACACTAGAAATATAATTTTTATTCTCTAATGATATAGTAGGTGATAGATGTCAAATAAATAAATAAATAATAATAATAATAATTATAAAATGGTTCATATATATTAATATCGCCATGAGTCCTCACTTCAGCTTTATTTTGTAGCCTTATAAATTTTATAAAAATATTTTCTTCTTATAATTAAGAAATGATGTTAATAGAATCATTAAGTAGCATTGTGAACCATTCAAATACCCAAACACAATTAACAAATCATCAAAGTAAGAAGGCAACATGCATATTCCCTAAAAGTGCAATGCATGGATCGATATTCCTCCGAGTTAAGCCATATTTTAAGATGGCGCTTGGAAGCTCAGTCCAAAGCAAAGCCTACTTCTATATTAATTCTAAATAAAAGCCCATGAAAGAAGATAGCCCACTTTAGAACAAATGTGTTATAATTAAAACGAGTGTTATATTATTTTTCAAACTCAATAAAACACAAGCCCCACACAGAATAAATTAAAAAGGATGGCAGAATACAATTAAAGGACACGCACATAACTAACTAAAATCCATGTCACAAACACTCGTGTACGTACGATGTTTTTGTCATAATAGTCTACCAACGATGTCTAATTTACTAATTAATCTTCCTGCAATTCTTTCTTATCTCTCCTTGAGAACCAACCAGTGGTTTTATATTTGCCATGTTTGTAATAGCCGCAACAAAGTCACTCTCGAAGGAGTCATAGTTTCGGGCATAGAACTGAACTTGAGAGCTTGTAGAACCATTACTGAAGAGTTGTTGGTCGGAGTGAAGAAGCCCCCTTAGATTGATCAGATTCTTGTAGTAGTTGTTGTCAAAACTTGTTGGAGTCTGGAGATCTAATGGTGAAAGATTGTTGTCTCCGGAGCTTCGAGGGCAGCTGGATTTTCTCGCTGCTGCAAATGAAGAATCAATATTGTTCTCGTTGTAAATCCTCTTCCTGAAGCTGGTGCATCGTGCTGCTCCAATTGTGTGAGCCCCTGGTTTACAAGAATTAGGTTTAGTAGTTTGGAGAGAGAAAGAGAGATGTAGAGAGAGATGGAAAATGGCAGACCAGATAGGGCGACCATATCTCTGGTAGAAAGCCCCTGAGCCGCGAACTTGGAGATGAGGTTAGTAAGGCTGGATGTGGGTGGGGGAATATTATTATTAGCTCCGCTAAAGCTTGCAGTCCTTGAATCTCTCCTCCCCAACTTGACTCTCCAGTTTGGCCCTCCAAGCTGCACCTCAGCAACATCCGAAGCATTTGCTCAATATATTTAATTTTATTCTAATATTTATTATTTAATTAACATTACTAAAGAAAATGTTTTCGCAGCACTTTATATATATAGATTATTGCAGTGGTAAAAATCCTACTACTTTCGTCACAATGAATAGTGCTGCAATGGCTTTTAGCCGTGATGAATTTTATAGTGATTTTAAGTGTGATGGTATTTATGGTTTAACCGCTGCTAATTTCAAAAATAATGAATATATAATAGTTGTAATTGCAATTAAATAGACCACCTGAAACTTACTATTTATAAATCAACTATTCCCTTTCATCCATTTTTCAAATTTTTACTCAAATATCAAAGTAAGATCCCAGCCCCTACTTTTTATTTTTATCAAATTTTTAATAAGTTGATCGTGACATGCATAGATACATCATATCGATTATGTAGTTATAAAAATTAAATGAATGGTTAATTTATAAAGATCAATATTTCATATTATGACTACATAATTATCCTATATAATATGGTTGGTGGGGACTATACATTATATTTGTTTTGTACCCAAATTTCAATGTTATTGCACATTAAGAAGAAGAAGGGACGTAGGGTACTCCTTAATAAAAAAATGAAGATTTGTATACATACCAATCATTTCTCTATTTTTCCGTAGCTGCCATATAAACTTCAATTTTTAAGTCACATTTTCTGTACATAAAAGTCTGCATCTTATATGTAAAAATTAAAATAATAATATTTTTGATGTGATTATAAGAATTGAACGGTATAAATATAAATAAATAAATAATTAGTAGGAATTAGATATGTAAATTTATTAGAATCGAGTGTATGTATGTAAATTTTGATGGAAATACTTACAGTGCTGACTGAGTCTCTTGCAGTAATAACCAGGATATCAGCACAAGAAACAACTCCAGGGCAAGCTCTCTCCACCGCACTCTTAATCTTATCAATAACCTCAAACCCCCTCGCTGAATTCTTGTTCGGCTTCGCCTTCTTCTCTCCTCTGAAACCTCCATTATCGTCCAAAAGCAGCGACGCATCACAGCCCTGCAACAACATTAATATCATTTCAACATGCAGCGCCACTACTACAAAGAAAGTTGGGTGGTATGTGTGTATGTAAATGCCCCATGGGCATGAACCTGAACAAAGCAGTCATGGAAGAGGAGACGGAGAAGCGAAGCTCCCATGCGTTTCTCCTTCGATATTGCTTCCTCAACCACCGGCTTAATCGTGCTGAACAGATTTGGACAAGTTTTCGAATAGTAGTCTGTGGAGAGCTGTGCTGAGGAGCTGCTAAGGAAGATGAGCAGTAATATGAAGATTGAAGAAAGGTGGAAAATGGAAGCCATTTCTATTGCTGTTAATTGATGCAGAATTTGATGGTGTTATATATAGAGAGTTTTTTTAGTTAAAAAGAATGGATGGAACAGATGGCTTACGTACCTAATACTATTGATTAATCCTCATGTTTGTTTATTTAGTCGTTGGCATTCATATCAACGTATGACTTTTGCAGATAACTAAACTTACAATGTCAGTACCAGCCGGAAAAAGCTGGAGAAGAAGAGGAGAAGCTACAAAATTTACGATTTGATTATAGATTTATATAATATTTGATTATGTTGCAATCTTATTTTTTTCGATATTAGATTGTTCTTGTTTATAAAATCCAGCTACATTTTTTCCGGAAAACATTTTTTAGCTCACTAAATAGGCTATTTAAGGCTTATCAATTAAGTTGTTTGATACTGTTATTGATTATTCAACTTGATAAGAGCCATTCGGTTAGCTAACAAAATGAGCTTAAAAACCATTTCATCACATCCATAGTCTTAAATAAACTGAGCATGGTGACTACAACAGAGTTTGACAAATGAGCTCTTGCTCAGGCAAAGTCTCACTCAGCTTACCTCAGTTCATTTGCAACCCCTAATTGTAGACATTATTTAGCATATTTGTTTGTGATAATCTTATGCCGCCACCTATATTTTGGAATACATTAACTTATTTTTTTTTCTTTTGTTGGACTCTGTTGGTATTGAAAGTATTTTTATCAGTACAAGGAATGGGCACTCTTGCATTTGTACATTGGTAACGACAGGTGAGTCAGCGGCTATAATTGTAGACTAGCGGCAGCGATGATGACCAACGAGTTGCGGAACAGTGGTGTACAATAATTAGGGTTTGTTTGGGGCAACTGCAGCTTATTAATAAGTTGTTGATAAACAGCTGCATCAAGAATCTACTGATAAACAGTTGCTGAGAATAATCAAAATGGTTGTTTGATTTGTGCTATTGGAAAATAACTATTTTGCAACTGTTTTTTGACAAATAACCATCATGTCATTGTGCAATAATGTTGTTTGTAACAAAACTGTCGTATAAATATATTTAATACTTGATAAACAAAAAACATAATTCAAAACAATACAAAAAATAAGATATACACCAAACTTAACAGTGAGTAACATGATTATTAAAATAAGGAATTAGACTAGTAAAATAACATTTAACTAGACATAATTATTGTTAATCATTTAATCTACATTTTATTTAGAAATGTTTTAAAACCAGCTATTTTTTAGGCTGCGGGTTAAGAAAATTCATGAATAAATTTTTTTTTTTAAATCTTTCTTTCGTTAAAATAATGATTAAAACCTTTCGTCAAACAAACAGCAATCACATGGTTTTTGAAAATGTGACTTAGTACAGTTACGGCTAAAGATATTGTTGTTTTAGCGACCTTATTAAACAAAATTATAAACTACAAATTAAAATTTAGGCATATATTTTCAATAAATATTGATATTGCACATAAAATTTTGATGTAGCATTTACATACATACCATACATCGCATACCTAAGACCTAAAATCTTATATTTATATGCACAATACTTAAATCTTTAATCTACTATGATCTACTTTTTAATTTTAAAAAATAAGAGAAATATTTTCAAGCATGAATTTAAAAATGTAAATATGTGAAATTTAGATGATAGATATGTAAATACATAAGAACCGTGTGGTATGTGTGTAAATTTCCCAATTTTAATTATTATTTTTTATTTGTTCTAGCTGTGGGAGATCATATACTGTTTGCATGCTAGTTGACGCTACTAACGATCTTAAGTCAAAACCTGCCCATTATTATAGCAGTTTTAGGTGATGACCAGATAAAGGAAGAAAATCAGATAATGTATAAATACGTTAATCTATGCATCAAAAATACAAATATGATTTCCAAAGGTCAAAGAAAGAAACATAATCCTGCCCAGCCATTGCATATGTCTTGGTTGGAAGTTGTACCAAACCAATTAAATATTTATTGTGCTTTGAGATAAGCATATATATATAATATATATATATATATATATATATATGGAAGGAAATTTACATATATACATGCAGCATAAATTCTAATGTATTTATATATCTGACACCTAAAATTTGATATTTTTACTTATAACATTTTGTTGTTATAAATTTATGTATGGAAATATGTATTTTAAATTTAAAAAGTTAATAATAATGATGTTATGTAATTTTTAAATTTTAAGTGTTATAAATATAAATATGAAAGTACTTATGAGGTTAGATATGTAAATAGATCAGATTTAAATTGTGTGATATGTACGTAAATGCTTCTCACTTATGTATATTATTTGGACTGTCCATTCATCTGCAATCATTTAGAGCTTTCTTTATTATTATAGGAAGAGTAGTAGTGCATCAAATTACATTTAAAAAAAAAAAAAAAAACTAGAATCACAATTTCTTAAGGAGTTATGACTATGCGTCAATATAATTTTTTCTTAAAGCAAAAAATTAATTAATAAAAATAAAAAAATACAAAAAATATTAAATTTTTTGATATTAAAAGAACAGTTTAAAATACTTTGAGGATGAGTAATAGATAAGTAAATAAATAAAAGGTTCGAAGTAATATGAATTATTTATGGAAAAATCTCCTTCTGATTATTGATAGATTGTCTCGATGTAAGACAATACTAGCCACTGGAGGAGAAAAATGAGGACAAATTGTAGAATATTTTAGGTAGGAGAAGAAGATGACAAAAAAGAAAGAAGCAACTTTTTCATCAATCCTTTTTTCTGTGGAGCACTTTTTTGTACTGTGGGTACAGTATATAGTAACATATGTATATAGATTAGTCGAGTAGAGGCTGTTACATCCCCTCTTAAGTTGATGGTTTCGGTTGGAAGCATCAGCTTGACATTGAGTTGCTGAAATCGTGAATTGGAGAGAGCCTTCGTGAATATATGGATTAGCTGATCTTGAGTGGTAAAGTGATGAACGATGATGTAATTTTGTTGAACACAGTCACATATGAAGTGACAATTAACCTCAATATGTTTGGTTTTGGCGTGGAACACTTGGTTGTAGAAGAGCACTATAGAAGAGGTGTTACCACACTAGAGGATGGTCGGGTGAGGTTGGGGAATATCGAAGTCAGCCATTAGACATCAGAGCCAGATGATATATGTGGCTGCGGATGCACGGGCACAATATTCGACCTAAATGAATAGTAAAGGCACTTGAAGATTTTGAGGTAATCATAAGATGAGGGATGATGGTGAAGTAGTTCTTAAGGGCATTTTGAGGTGGTGGTTTTGGATGGTAGGTGGTTAATGAGGTATGATAAAGTGAGGAGAATATCTGTCAAAAATCGACCTTATACAACTCAAATACGGCAATAGATTATATAAAGTCAAGTGCACAACAGATTATTTAATCCAAAATTTATTTGAAAGTAGTTTTTTTTCTTCTAATTTTCATTACACAAAACAAATAAGTCACCGATAATAATATAAAAATAAAGTTAAAGATCATCATTATTTCATTTTTCTTATATACATCAATACTATTTACATCTAAAACATTTATATACATTGATCATGATCTTATAATAATCCTAACAAAACATATAGATTCATCATCATCATAAAATACATATATAAAATATACATATATCAGCAAGTACTAGCACTTCACCCACTGGATTCTTACCCTTTCTTGAAAACATGTAAAAGCCATAAGAGTAAGCGAACAACTCAATAAGTTACACAAAAACTACCATTGAAATTAATATATGAAAATAGAACAATATGTATGATTGTATTATAATTATATTATGTATGCTAAACAAGTAAACTGTAGGTCATTGAACATGAATATTTATATTATAAAAAGGTGCCCACAATTTAGTATCAAATTATAATAGTAGCAATAGAATAAAACATATCATCACACATATATTATACAAGCTAGGTGATCTAATAAATCATATTTGATGTTATTTTTGTACCAATAACATCAAAAAATTTATACAATATTATATTATATCATGTCAAGAAAAACTGTCATTATAGTCAACTAGGTGGCATAATACATGGGAGTCATCACCACCAGCCCATCAGTACTCATATCATATCATATTCACCCCTTATAACTCTCAACAGGTATCATGTTTACACCACTAACACATTTAAATGAAAGCTCATTAGCCTATCCTCTTGCACAAGGTATCATATCTCAATCAATCTAAATCATAGTAGCAAACATTTCGTGTATACACACATTCCACAATATCATAACATTTTCAAGAAAATATAATATACTCGACATCACAATGTATATGTAAAATATGCATGTAAAAAAAAGGTGATCCAAAGTATGCAATGATATATATATATATATATAT